GATAAGAAAACACATTTTTAGTGTTTGCTTATTTTTATTTATTTGACTGGTTCATCCAGACTCTTTTTTTTAGGTTGATCAGTAAATATTAACATTTATGCTGGTGTACATACAGTCTAACTACGAATCAATTCAGTTCATACAGAATATTTTCTTTTGGATTTAAACTTTGCCACGAAATATACTTAAATATAAACTGGATATATATTTTTAATTTATTTGGATGCTTACTGCTGAATTTATCTCTTGATTGATAGATCATTGTTTGAGTATCTGACTGTCCACGGATGAAAGAATATTCAAATCATAAAATAGTCAACCAAATTGTACATTTTGCATCAAATACTAATCTTAGTTAGATAACCATTGAGAACCAGCAAGCGTTGGACATTTAGCCAGGATCCAAGTATTTGTATCATCAATTCCAAATAATTCGTGATATTGCATATCTATATTCAAACACCATTGGTTGGAAATTGTCTGATAGCTGACGTAGTTGAACTACATTGGTTAAAACTCAAATAATTGTCTCTCCAAAATAGTCATGAGTATGTATATAATTTGTATTATAATTTGTATGACCTTAGTTAAACAATTACTGAAAATCAGGAAATTGAACTACTGTTCTATCCTGCTATATAATAAATTTGTATATTAGTAGCTATTCATTCAGTCCATTATTCCAAATACTCAAAACTAAAAAAAATATTTGAGTTAACAGTTGTTTCAATATCAGAAGGAGTTTTGTGGAGATTTATTAATTTTATATAGTTGAGGTCATGAGTCAATTGAAGCTAGACCACCATGGAAAACCTGGAAGCACTGGACGGCCGTTTCGTCCTATTATGGGATTCCTCAGCAGCGCGCATCCACAATCCCGCCTCGCGAGATTCCAACACAATGCTTCCAGGTTTTCGATGGTGGTTTAGCTTCAATTGACTCATGATCTCAACTATATAAAATTGTTTCAATAGTTTCATCACTAGGCTCTATAGTTATAGGTTCACAATTATTGTGGTATTTTACAAAGACCAAAATAAAACATGCATCATTGAATTTCGGATACTTCTTCAACAATCACTTCTATCGTGACTAACTTGTTAGATACAAAATTTAATAAAATTAGTAGGTTAGTTTATTCAACATTCTAATAATCTCGTATTTATTAATGAGATGGTCATATTCTTAAAGAACTGATAACACAGCTTCCAAATTAACAGTATTCTGATAGTCTAATATTAAGCATTATTAAAAGTTAAAAGCAGTGACTATATTTTCAGATCCTCCAAAGCAAATACCACACTGCCATTGTAAGTCATGGATTCAGCAAAACATGTTTTTAAAGATTATATTTCACTCATATCTCAGGTATATTTACTTAGCCTTTACACTCTCTGTTATATGTAGTGCAGACTAAAAATCACTTTTTTGCTTAGAAATAATTACTCAGACCGATTATTTAAGTAAGATTGTACTCATATCTAATCCGTCCTAGTGTATACAGGGTCAGTTATTTCTATTCACTTCTACATTCCCCTGTAATTATACCGCATATATAACTTTTAAGGAACTTTAATTAGAAGAACATTAGTTTGTTAATTCGAGTTTAAAAAAAAAACAAGACTCCTAATTGAACCCACTGTTTCTTTAGGTATGGGTTAGTTTACGGTCTAATAAAATCTTATTTAAGCGGTTGTCACTCAATTTAAATCAGTACAAACTGTATTTTTCACTTTAAATATATGACATACAAACATAAGATTGGAAGAATATGAGTTTTCATTCATTTTTAACAGTGAAAGTAGTTAGTATTCCAGTTTTGAGTAGCTTTTTGGTCTTGACAAGTAATTAGAAGACATAAACTCTCCATACAAAAGGAAAGACCGTTATGATAGCAACAGTTTCTGTCATTTGAGAATGAGATTTGGACAAAAACTCAGTCAGGCACAAGAACAGGAGATAGTAAAAATAATTCAGTTAATTTTCATTATGCTTATAAAGAAACTAAATGTTATAAATTATACTTCCACTGATCATTATACAAATGGTTGCGTAACAGTTACACTGAAATAGATTCAATAGGAAAAGCATTTATTTTTGCCGTAAAGGCTTTACCAAATTAGAAAGAAAATTTGATAATCAACTGTCAAACGTACCTGAAAATCTATCTCCAGAGATGTTTTTCGTAAATGTAATCTGTCTACTTAATATAGTGTCAAGTAGTATAAATCTTTGGAAAATGTGGCTGGAAAACGGTGGTCATATTATGTGAAACTGATTCAAATTTAAAAATTATAATCTTTGGTAAGTGGGTTTATCTCAAATCTCTCAAGAAGTCTGCTTTGAAAGAAAGTACAGAAAATGAGTTTCCTGTAGTCCACCTCCTACTACCACCTTACGTATAAACATAATACACACGATATCAAGTTACTTAATTTATTAGCCCCATCTTAATTTGATCTAAAGAACCGAATCAACAATAAGAGGAAATTAACATTCATGACATTGGTCGCTACCCAGTTATCGACCATTTCTAAAGATTATAATAACTTTTAATGAATTATATAGCTCAACCATTACCCGTTGTGATTAGTTGATAATGATTCTTGCATTAGAGCTGACAGAGCATATATCACTGAATCTTCATTCAGTACCTTCTGTTTTTGTACCTACTGTTTTTGTGGGCCCCGAAATATTATCTCCAATTCTTGAGAAAAACACGCGCTTATATCTATTAGGAATATATATATATATAGGATCGTAGATGTGCACTGCCGAAGAGTCCTTGGATAGAACAAAATGTCCTTACAGTGTTTCCAGATTTTCAATAGTTGTCTAACACTGATCAGTTCATGATTTCAATGCAAACTATGAATCAGAAGGGGTTTTGTGAAGATTTCAGTATTTTCATAGTTGAAATTTTGAGTCAATTAAAGCTAGACCACCATGGAAAACCGGCTTAGTGTTCTAGAGGTTAAGCGCTTGCGCATCAGACTGGTAGGTTCTCGGTTCGAATCTCGCTAGGCTAGATTATGAATTCATACTGCAATGGGAAAATTTCTGAAAATACATGTAAATTATTTATCCAATACACACTTATATACTCAACTTTAGGTTACAGTTACAATATGTTGGAGTTATTGATAAGAACAGGCAGTTTTAACAGCATTGAACCAATTAGTTGGAAAACATGTGTTGTAGTCATAATGGTATAGATTCAATATTCAGGTTAATTTCGGAAAACATTGTGATATCGAAAATTTAAAGAAAATTCATTGATAGCTTTCAACATTAGTCTCTGAAATGTATCATAGACCATAGATGTAAGATATATTACTTAAATACTTACTATATATATAACTGTTTATGTAGACTATCTACCATATTGTCTAGTGATAGAATAACTTGAAAGATTCTTAAAACACTATAACATACTTTTAATTTCATCGGATCAGTAAACAAAACATCAAATCACATCGAAAAGCGAGTGATTTTTATGTGTTATTCTCCATCTTTCTCAATATACGGTCAACTCATTTATTTTATTAAATATGTTTACAATGTTAAATTTAACTCCGCCTGTAGCTCCTCCGAGGGCTACTGCCGGTTCCAAGTCTGGATAAAGGAGGAGGGTTGGGTATGGGGTTAGCGGCCTCATCCGGTAAAAAACCAACTCGCTAAAAAACGTTGACCAGAAAAAAATAATTCAAACCATTTAAACTCTACCCTGGGAGTTGAAGGAATAATTATGAGGTCTCATAAGGAAAGCCGAGTTCCTTCGGAAGTAATGAGGCCTATGCACCTTGTAACAACCAGAGCAACACTTTTTATAGGCACATGGAATGTCTGGACAATGTGGGAGACCGGAAGAGTCTTCCAAATCGCTGCAGAAATGAAGAAATACAACCTGGAGGTGCTTGGAATCAGTGAAACACAATGCTAAATTTAAAAATTCAGAACCTAGCGATTGTTTGCAAATCTTATTAACAGTTACATTTTCGTGATCTTTTTCAAGATTAATAGAAATGTTTCCATTTGAAGAAGTAGGCTACTTTCTTTATGTACCTTTTTAACTGATTCATTTCAAATTTTTAAAGAAACTATCAATCTTCTCCGCGGAAAACTTTAGTTTTACATCCAGTAGATTGTTGGCAATTCATTACATGTGATAAAAAATTACGATGACTAATCACCAGATTAGAACTTAATGTTTTGTTGTCTAGTCTATGGTTGTGATTAAATTCAGTCTATCAACTTTTCAATTCGGCCCCTCAACATCGTGAATTGATTGAGTTGGTGTTTGATAGTTGAAGATAATTCTCAGGAAACCTAGATTTCCTAGTAATCAGTATTCATTCAATCTTAATGTGTTGTTACAATCCTAGTAGAATTGTTCTCAAGAAGATTAACTTTGGAAATCAGATGGAAATCAACACCATCAACACCATTACTACTGTGCCATCGAACTACTAATACCTGATACTCCGTTTTTAATATATCTAAGACATTTCAAAGAAACTGATATAGCTAGTAATAGATTAGTCACTTTGACTGAGGATGAGATATAAAGTTGATTTCTTTTTTCTATTGTGTACACATCTTAAGAAGGATTATAGATGCCTAATAATATAATACGTTAAATGTATGTTCGCACAGTCAGGTATTGAATTATTATCGCTAAATACAACTTAGTTCATACGAATCTCACTGTTGATCAAACTGTATATAAATCATATGAAAAGTGGTGTATTCCTAAATCATTTCTATCTATTTCGTGAGTCAAATAAATCTTTATCATCAATCTTTAGTTTTACGATTCGCACCTTTTCTCTTGTGTTTAAGTTGCTATGTATATTCAACCTGGGTTTTGTTTTTTGTAAGAACATTCACAATTATATAGATGAACTGGATAATAAATCAAGTTTGTTTATTGCTCAGAAATAACGAAACAATATTTATGTAACACTTAATATTGATATTCATTTCTCAAATAACATAATTTATGCTGTAATCATTTTAATGCGTCCATCGACTTGAGGGGCTATTTGATATGCAATTAATTTTTCACGTTGTTCTATCAGAGCACATCGTGCTGTAATCCATCGGGATGTAGTATCTTTTACATTGGAATTGTCCAATAAATGTTGATTACAATTATTACTATTTGATTGTTGCATTAATTTTTGCCTTTCCATGAAAGGAATTAAACATTGACGATGACATGTACGTGATTGTTTAAATCCTTTGAGTACCTAAACAGTTAAATGAATAAACAAAACACAATTCATATTAATTATACATTTAAAGCATTCTACTAGTAATACTGACCGATTTTCATTGAACTACCATTGAAAATCGAAGGAAGAAGATTACTTTTTTCCATTATGAGGCTTTTTCGACACTGGGAATACATATCTTCACTAAGTTTGATCATGGAACATCAAAGCCCTAAAAGAAGTGAGGTTTACTTTTTGATAAGTGGCATAGTATTTAACCCTCCACCTTATCAACTGCTATCATTGCACAACAAAAAATTATTCAATTTCTTCCAGTCTATGAGATAGCTTTTGAAATCTTACATTTTCGGTAATACTTCACAGTAGTTGTTAAATACATTTGCCAAAGTCAAGAATAAATGAAATGAAGTAATAAAGCCTGTAAAACTTTACCACAGTGAATCTATATTTCTTAAAATAAAAATTTAAGAAACATCCAAGGTTGTTCCAATGGTCACTAAAAAGTGCCATCGTAAATACACATATAACTAGAATAAGTAATTAATAACTTTATTTGCTGCATTCCGGTTAGAAAATCGATTCCTTTAAAATTCGAAACAAACGAAGGGTTTGATAGATAGCCAAAGTAAGGATTATGTAACAGATCAAATAGAATGATTGTATAAAATTCTCTTCATTGTCAGATTACAACTGAACAAATGTTTATGATTAGAACTTATCATCAGTGTTATGGTCACTAGTAAGCCTTATCATGGGTTGAGAGGTCGACTATTATGGAGAAACATGGATGAGTACCTGTACCGTATGCATTACGACTTCAGAAATACCGAGCCTCTTCCTAGCCTTGAAAAGCCTTCAAACCATGTTAAAGAAGCGTATCCATTCTATTTTTTTGCTTTTGTATAATAAATATTCTTACTCTTTACAAACGTTTTTCTGATTGGCTGAAATCCCTCAAGGTCACTTAAGATTATAGTCTCACTAAAATATTCTCTAAATTCACGTGGTATTGTTCATTTGAATATTTCCATTGATGTTTAGGGAAATTGATCAGTCTCTTATTGGCATATGTGCACACTGTGTATATCGCCTCGATATTGCCTTAATTTACAAGCATTGTAAGCAAAAAATGGATAGTGACTGGCAGTGGAATCCAGGACACGCACTTCGTCCTATTTGGGAATCATCAGCTGGATGTAACTGCATCTCAGAGCTGATGTTCACTCTGAGACTCAAGCGCAGTACCTTTCACTTCAAACACCATCCCGTTATTCACTTAGCTACTGAGTCCTGATAGCCACTTGCTTGTGCAACACCAAGTGAAAGAAATACTTAGTTTGTTAATCAAATATAAAACCTGAAAACTTGACAGTTAGATTAAAGATTCTCTATAACTTTTGATTTTATTTTATTATTATTATTATTATTATTATTATTATTATTATTTTTCTTCAACTCTAATGGTAAATTTTGAGAGTATCACCAAAAATATTCAAAAAATATTTTCGAAATATGTATTCAATACGTTTAACTACATATTTTGTCCGACTAAATATGTTTAGAGATATGTAAACCTAAGAAACAGATTATCTCTACCTGTAATCATGTTTGAAATTATAATCTAAACTAATGGGGAAGTGATTATTAAAGCTCATTGGTTTAAAACACCTTTTAAAACAACAATAACTGAATATATCACTTTTAAAATGATTAATTTCGTTTGGAGGCAAGTTTAAAAAGTGCTGAGTAGTGAGGTTTGAAAATTTTTTCATTAATACTGGTGGTGGGTGTGAATAGTTGTTTTAATATTACTTATCATTGACTTATAAGATGGTGGTTGGAGGTGGTCAACAGGAAACCTTGGACCCGGTTTTCGTGCTACTTGGCACTCGTCAGCAAGGTGTACCTGTAATATTGAGGTAGCTGATGCTCCCTGACTGATTCGATCCCGTGTCACTCAGTCAGAGACGTTACCACTGAGCTATTCGGGCCGCGACCAACCTCCTGTAGGACTGAGATGTAATCACAATTGATTGATCACTGGGTGGTGATCAGTGTCATGTGAATTCATATTATTCAACATCAATATTTGTTCTGTCTTTATTCAAATTCATAAAGGGAACTAACTGCATCAACTGCTTCTTAGTGCAGATCGAATGTTGTATCAACATGGTCTACGCAGTGTCGAGTCACCTAAACTAGTGGCCACATTGTAATTTGGAATTGAATACAACATCTTGTTCAGTATTCATTTAAATTTGGACTTACTTGTACAGTTCTAAAATAATTTTGTACTAATATTAGTAGAATTGGACATTTTTCATCATCTAACAATAATGGACATTCAGGAAATATTCGATAACCATCGTTTCCAGCATGTAAATATTTGGTTGTACATAAACGATATTTTTGTTTCATATTGATTGGTTCATTTTGTATTGTAGATTCTTCAACAATAACTCTTGTACCAACTGGTTTTAATGGATTAAATACAAAGCGCATACCACCAATCATTGGAAAACGTCCTTAAAATTAAAATATAATGATATTGAATATGTATCAGAATAGATAATTGAATATATGTAACGTAACATGCATTAAGATTATATTTTACTCATATCACAGGCATATTTACTTAGCAAAAACTTCTACCCGAAGTTTGTGCTGGTGATGTCGTTCAGAAGGACGATGAAAGCTCCACGACCAAACCATTCAGTTCAGAGAATAAACCTACATCAAAATCACCCACCTGAGCTACAAATATTCTCCACCATCTCAAAATCATAATGAAATGTATATACATTAGCTGTTCCTCAATCGATATTTAGGTAAATGGACCAATCCAACAATTCAGTGTTGTTTAACAATACTAAGTTTATTAACAGTTTATATTCAACTCTGCATCGTTTAGTGGACACAAATCACAAAGTGAAATGAATTAGTATTAATCATTATAAATAGAGTATTTTTAAAGCTTTCAAGGTTTACATGACTACATCTACTAAACACAACACAGGCAATATCTGTCATACTTTTTTGACCAAATGTACACAAGCAAAAATGATTTGTTTTATCTAATTTCCTCTATTTGGATTCACTGATAATTAGATGGTGACAATGAACTACCGATACCCCGAGCATACCAAATATAGGTGAATGTTATCTAAGTAGCACTTGTCATTAATAACCGAAGTTATTTAAGATGTTCATCCACTTTATCGAAACAACATAACTCTTTCTTTACTCTGGTTCTCTCTCTAGCATATATATATTCAAACTAGTTTAACATGTAGATAATGAAACTTCCCACCGCTTCACTTTTAATGACTAGAATAGCTGTTGCTTCATTCAATTCTAATTTGCTTTGGGTTGAATTTCAGATAACATTTTCGCTTACATGATTCGTAGTCATACGATAAAACTTGTCGGCTTACAGATAAACCTCATACAGCTGATTTGCAGTGTACATGACTGTAATCAGTTCCAACCTACGTCTTTGACCAAGATAACGTTTTGAATGTAACCCAATCATTGAAGTTGTTCTAACTCTCTACAATACATGATTTCATTTCATGGTCCGCACCTAGTGTGGCAACTTAAAATGATACATGTGCATCAGGTTCTATATGGCTTATATTCGACGGAATAACTGATTTATGGTTGTATTTTGTTTTTCCTGTTGTTTACATATACAATGGAGTCACTCGCTAGAGTATGAATTACTGAACAATATGATGCAATTTCCTAATTAATGATATTTGTTTAAGTTTAAAAATTAACTAGAATATGAAATACTGTTATGTATGAAAATTATAATAAATCGATGGGAAGATTCAAACAAACAATACTAAGTTGAATTTAAACTTCACCCCATCGCACAAGGAAGTGGCTATCAGGACTCAGTGACCGAGTGGATAACGCGATGGCGTTCGAAGCGAGGGTACTGGGTTCGAGTCCCAGAGTGAACATCAACTCTGAGATGCAGATACATCCAGCTGACGAGACCAAAGAGGACCATAATAAATAACCATAATAAATAGTCATATGGGTAGCAATTTTTATTTCTTCGTTGTTCATCAGTTTTATTGAATGAATAGAAAGGTAAACTACTTGGCTGTTTATTTAAGAAATTCAATATCATAGTTAACAGTAACTAGGGAGTCATGCAGTCAGAATAACTTATTGACTGATGTTTTTTCTAGCTCACTTATTACTGACAGTCACAAACTTTTAACCGGACGGTCATCGAAACATCCAGTTATTTATTATTATGATGTGAGCATAAAATGTGTTTGTAAATGTTTTTGATATATTTAACAGTGAGTGAAAAGCAAATAAAGGTCATTGATCTAAGTACAAAAGTATAACCCTAATAGACATACCAGAAGGAGACTGGCAGATATTTTCCATCATCAGTTCAATGGCTACTTGGCTTTGAAGAGAATGTTATCTGTTTGACCAGTGCTTAATGTAATCAATTTAACATTTTATAGCATCCTTTTTCTTTGTACTAAAGATAATTTTAAATGATTTAAGTTAATTGACTACACCTAAATTTTATTAGTAAAATGTTTGCGTAATCTTGATTCTCCTGAAATGCAAACTCTGGACACTGAGTGTTGCAGTCGCAGCTCTACTAGTGTGGTGTGGTCTACTTATATTCGCATAAGTAGTAAATGGTGATGGTCTGGCATAGAATGATTTTTTGCAGAAGACCGATAATGAAAGAACAGGAATGAAGAGCAATTAGTAGGAAAATACATAAACAATGAAATTAAAGAAGATGAACTGATAATTACATAAGGAACAGTGAAGATTGAGACAACTGATTGTTATTTTGCAAATTAACTGTTTCCTATATGGTTATCAGATTTTAGTGAGTAGGTCTGTAATTTGTACTTAAATGCATTCGATTGTCCCCACTCGTGTTCTTGTTCACTACACAAGTATGCTGTTCGATTTGCAATAATTTTACATTAGCTGCTACATTTTGATTTGATTTATTCGTACAATTCATCCGTAATGATTCAAAAGTATGTTGTAGAAGCATATGAAATACATGATAAAGTAAAGTAAGTTAACTGATTCGATTGTTCAATGAGGAATATGGCTAATAAACACTCCCATGATATTGGTGTAATGAGTTGTTCTTTTTTTTAGAAAAGTTATCATTTTACATTTAGTTAAAAGATCTGAATTACAGTCTAACACATATTTTATAAACAGAGCACAAATTTCAACCTTGATAGTAACAGTTTTATTCATCAAGTATAGACGTCAACTAACGAACATAATAGAAAATTGGAGTTTTGATCCTAGCTTGAAACTCTCTGGTAATGCTTAGACATAACTTCACATTGATATAAACTATGAACATTAGAACAAACCGTGATTAATACTACCTTTAATTTTATATAAAAATTGTGTTGCTTATTGCCTAGCAAAGAAAAAATGAAATAACGATTGAATAGTCTATGAAGGAAAACAAATTAACTTGATATATCCAGACAATGTAAAAAATTCACTTAGTATTGTTTGTTTAAATCTTCCCATTGATGTTTAGGAATGCAGTTGGTCAGTGTCTTATTGGCATATATGCATACTGTGCGTATTGCCTCGATAAAGCCTTAATTCACAAGCATTATAAGCAAAGATGGATAGTGGCTAGTAGTGGAATCTAGGATGTGCATTTCGTCCTATTTAGGACTCATCAGCTGGATGTACCTGCATCTCAGAGTTGATGTTCACTCTGAGACTCGTGATTAGATAATGAGTGACGTCAAATATAAAATTGTGTATCATACGTACAATAGACTAATATAATTTTTCATACTGACAGTAGATTTTCGATTAAGCGGTCAGACAAGATTGTTTATGGATCCCAAGATTTGTGTTACGTCCGAAAAATCATAACACATTCATATGAAATGTTTCTCAACATAGATGTAAAAAATTATTTGATTACACATTGTAATAGTAATACTAACCTTCAGCTTTTGGATATTCTGATAATGAATTTTCTAATACTTCTATTAATTGACTACCAGTTATTTCAATAACTGATAATTTATCTAAATATGGTAGTATAGTAGTTAAATCACGTAAAGTGAATAATCCAGCCTTAAAAATTCGATCACCTCTTAAGGTACCAGCATTAATTAATACACAGTTGGCTTCTACAGCTGTTAATACTATATCACAAATGAAATTGCCAATATTTGATTCTTTTAAACGTATTGAATTGGATCTAACATCGAAGTCAACTTCAATAAGTCCTAATGGTGTATCCAGTTTCTTTTCTAATTTTTTAGTAGATTTAATAACGAGTTTTTGAACCTTTTTGAGAACAAAAAGAGAGAGAGAAAAAAAAGAGAAATTGTAGTAATCATTGAATTATGTAAAGTATTTACATATAATAATGTTTTTTCAGTTAGTTTATACTTCAAAAGGGCATTTCTTAGGTTAATTTGTACTTTCAATGTAATTATTTACTTATTTAAACACGTAAATATTGGTACAAGGAAGCACCAGATATATATGCACCACACAAATCTCATCCAATTTTTGTGAGGGCTGTGATACTGCCCAGGTGCCCAAACTGAAGCAGGTGATTTCTTAGGGGACCACACCCGGAGCCTTTGACCTAAAGTTTTGATCCATAAGGCAGTGGAGCATCGTGAGGAGATGCAGTCACATGGCAGCCGGTGACCAGCGATTGGTTCATACGCCATTTTTTCCTTCAGGATACTGGAGCCCATGTTCATCATTGGTTTGGAATCACGGTTTTCCAACTCTCCTAGGTAGACACTCCACATCCACCAACACGGCTAAAGCGCCGGACATTCGCTTTTCGTCCTCTCAATTTCGTAAACAACACCCGTGGTGCGAGAAAGCAGTGAGTAGGACTTCCCTGACAGAGGCCATATACGCGTGGCCATGTGAGAGCATTTGGAGAGGGAGAGCGGACTCTCGCCACTCTCGGCCGTACCAGGGCATTTGGGGGCAATCTCAATGAGGCTAGAAAAGTATTATGATTTTCCGATAAAACGTTGTCCTCAGTTAATCAATGAAAAACTAGTACTTACAAGTGAGTTTTTTGTGAATGAAATGTTTCTGGATTCTTTTTAGACTCATTATTTTCAAAATTAGAGGACAAATATAAATGTAACTTATGATTCTATTACCAACAGATTTTTCCCATTGACGTTTCACATAAAAACTGTGACAAAAAAAGGAGAGAACATAAGGTTGGATTAACGATTAATTCTTAAAATCCCAAATCAATGAGTGAAGTCGGATGTTCGCTTAGGCCTTCTTTTATGCTAAGAGAAGTGGGATTAAGCATTATATGGAAAGCTTCAACTACTCTCCTTTCTTTGTAGTTGGAAAAGTCCTTTTGTAATAGTTTGATGTTTTTGATATTGTTATATCCCGAAGAGAATTATGAATGGTAACTCTGAGGACTATTTATGGACCAATGTGATATGTATATTTCCTATTGTATAATCGTTAAGTAACTTAACTACTCATATTCATGTCCCTTTTATTATGAGTTTTATTTTGACTTCGGATCCGATGGCCAGACACTATCAGCAACAAGTTACTGTGGGAGACAACAAACCAGATTCCAGCGGAGGTAGAAATCAGGAAGAAGCGCTGGAAGTGGATTGGGCACACTTTGAGGAAATCACCCAATTGTGTCACAAGACAAGCCCTCACATGGAATCCTGAAGGTCGAAGGAGAAGAGGAAGACCAAAGAACACATTACGCCGAGAAATAGAGACAGACATGAGAAGAATGAACAAGAACTGGAAAGAACTAGAAAAGAAGGCCCGGAACAGAGTGGGTTGGAGAAAGCTGGTCGGCGGCCTATGCTCCATTGGGAGTAACAGGCGAAAGTAAGTAAGTAAGTTTATTTTGACTTATAGACTATCAGTGTTATTTACCGTTCCTGAGTTATCCCCAGTCTATTAATTACTGTTCCCCATATTCACAGTCACATTTTGCCAAATCTTGTACAAATGTTATTTTCTATTTTATGGTGCGATATGGTCAGTTTGTTTGCTATATAAACCCAGTGTGTTTGAGAATAACGATTCATATTGCAGAGGCTGTTATTGGTGTTCTGAACTTAACTGGCTGGGCTAGGCAGAAGCAGGACCGATACGTATTCTAGACTGCTCGTACAGTTTTCGTGTGTCACTGTTCCAATCGATAATTCACTGCTCTCTGATTGTCGATCTTATCACGTTATATGTCAACAAGATATCCATTCGGCCACAAGTTATAACAATTGACGACGGGGATGGGACATCGATTTGGTGGCTGTCCATTCTACGTTAGCCAAATATAGTAGGATTCTAAGCATAAATTACAGCAAATATTCACAGATGAACTGGTTGGTATTAATAACTGGAGAGTAAGTTAGAATTTCAAAATTATATTACAGACATTATAATATGTTAAATTTAATTGTTACTTACTTCATTATCTGGTTCCCAATGACTATCCACTAACACTTGTTCAATATCAATATCCAATAGTTTACAATTCTCTTTATCATATTTTACACGTAAATGTGAAAACGTCTGATAATCACTACCACTTTTAATAACTAACCGTTGAATACTTATTTTATTTCTATCCAACAATAAATTTTCATCTAATTTAATCCATTCATATTGATATTCATGATCATGACCCCCAAGAATCAAATCAATCTCTGGAACATTTTTAGCTAATAAACGATCATTTGGCCATCTCATATGAGTTAATGCTATGACAAGATGACATTTTTGTTGTATTTTTAAATATTGTCCTAATTGTCGACCAGTTTCAATCATATCTTTAACATTAATATTTGATAAAGTAAAACAAGGTATAACTTCAATCCATTCTTTTTCAATTAAACCAATGATTCCAATTTTCAAATCATTATGTATCATAATTTGATATGGTAACTGGGTACCGAGTAGTTCATTTGATTCTTTATCATAGACATTACTATTAATCCATGGAAAATTACATTGATTTATACATTCTTGAAAAATATCCATACCATAATCAAATTCATGATTACCAAATAATGAACAATTAATAAACATTTTATTCATAATTGATGGAATATGTCGACCATGAGTTGCATTACTTATATATGATGGACTTAAACAATCACCTGAGAATAAAACAATACTATCTTGACCAGCTCCATGTTGTTTTAATGCTGTTGTAAATCTTGCTGCACCAGCAACTGGTTCTTGTTTTTGTTCTTCAACATTATATACATCATTAAAATGTAAAATATGTAGAATATCAATATCCATTAGTAATAATCATTTAGTTATTGATGGAAATTTGCAACAAAAAGACACTTTACAACTTTCCAATATTTTCATTATTGAGATTGTGGTTTGATTTATATTTATTTAATTATTTTGCATTTTGATTGGTTGAAACAATCTTCACTTCAGTTGGTCGAATTGATTTTATTCAGTTTATCATTATAGGATTGTAGAGATTGTTGAGTTTTAATTGAGATCACCATTGAAAACATGGAAGCACTGAACGGCCGTTTCGCCTCAGTATGGGACTCGTCAGAATTGCACATATACGATCCTGCACTCGGGAATCGAACTCAGGACCTTCGGTCTTGCACGCGAACTCTTGATCTTTAGACCACTGAGCATTCATCCAACAGTACTAATATCTAACTTTAATCGATTCAAATCCTTGCACTACCGTCCTCCATTGTCTTCAGTGAGTAACTGCCTAACATCAGATATGGCTGAACTCTACTGGTCACTGTTTCTCATTAGAACTACAGGAAATCCGTCTTTCAGCTAGTCATTAGTGAGCACATAATAATTATCAGAATAGGATTGTGTAGATTGTTGAGTTTTAATTGAGATCGTGAGTGGATCAATGTTAGACCTACATTGGTTGAAGGCATCATTACCAAGGTTTGGCTTGATAATCTCAAATAAACTAAGCATTGGGTAGATTGTTATTAACAAAAATAATACGTTTGTAATATCCCAATGAGTAGAAAAATTAGATTTTCTGACGTCTCGTGACTCAGTGTTCGCCACTTCTTCGGAGAATAAATAATCAAATCAAAATTAATCCAAGTTTAAATAATACAAAGGAACAAAGCAAGAATATTAGGTGGGATCAGATAAAAAACAGGTCTGAACAAGTCAGTTATGTCATCTCGGTCAATGTGATTTATAAGCGACATGTATGTGAACTTCTGTTTGTGTATGTGTGCATGGTCAGGGATGAAAAAATGTGACCTTTGTGGTCAGAAAGGATAGAGTTCAATTTGTATGTACGATAATACCGTTAAATGAGAATAATGTCAGACATGGTAGCTTGGATAGAAAGTCCAAGTCGGATGTATAGTTAGACCATCTTCGGCGTGATCTGCTATTACCGATTTAATTTGAACTCTACCCAGTTTCTACGCGTTTATTAGGTGATTTCTTTGGGTATCTAAAATGTTCTTTGGCTCGAGTCATGATTTCGCGAGATGACTCTCCAATATAGAGGGCATCACAATCGACATATCCTTATTAGTAGACACAGTTCCGTATTGACGTAAAGGGGATTTTTTCTTTTAAGCGAAGTTCTTCTGTTGTATCATGGCGGTATGGTAAAACGGCAATTCCTATCCATTCAAACTATAATTCAACAGTGAAACATCTCATTTTATTACACTTTTGATAATCTTCATAGGAAAATTATCTTATTTTTGTTTTATTTATACTATTGATTGCGTTTGATCCTAAGACAGCAGTGTGAATATTACGAAAGTCTCCATGGCCCAGTACCGTTTAATAAGTTAACACAATGTACCGACATCAACTGAAGAGGTAGAGAATTACATGAAACTGAATAGAATATTTATTGGTCTACATATGAGGAAGACTTATTTGGTCAATAATTGGCATACATCTACTCGTTTGTTTGTTTGTTTTCATGTAGAAATAAATCTATTCTTCAACTTTAACCAGATAAATAATGAAGCTTAGTTAGTCAGATGTTCAGCTGCTTATATCATTAGTAAATGTTCAACCAAAAGTATAAGTACCGTACGTTCTAGGATGAATGGAATGGATAATTAATGCTTGAATTTAGATTATTTTCACAGTACTGAATTATAATATATATCATTATATTTTTCATTGTATGGACGATAGGTTTTTGAATATTTCGATAGTGCAATAAGAAGAGGAAGATTATCAGAACTATGTAATATATTAGCGTAGTACATTTCGAACCATCTAGTCACACATAATATACTTGTTAAGAACATTTATATATAAAAATAAAAAGTCGACCAGACTAGAAATGGAGGGTAAGAGGAGACAAGGATGATAAAGGAAATAATGTGAAAACAATTTGAAGCCTCATTACTCTGAATGATGAGCTGATATTACCAGATTAGGTTTAAGGTGCGAACAAACTGACTTGATCGTGTAGGGGCAGTGAAATGTCACTGAGCCCTAGCCAAATTATCAGGCAGTTGGGTTTCTGAATATCGAATAGATAATCGATCCCCCTCAAAGTCAAGGACAACCATCATGCATCACTTAATCGTACTCCATGGAGTGGCCGTCACAATTTCGCTTGTACCTACTCAAACTAACATATTTCCATAATAACATCCTTCGTGTTACATGGTCTTTAAAGCATTCATAGCACCTTGATACGATGAAGGGGCAATCCACGTTAGGTGCTGACCGCAAGGTGTGACTTCGAATTTAGTTGTCGCTCACATCATTCCCGTCTAACTTGAGTAGGTCCCCAATCATTTGAAAGAGATCATCATCGTTGATGATCTGCAATCGTATTTGCACAAATAACGCTATTGACGATGATGTTAAGTTGTTAAACAAGACATTAATGGGGAATGGTTATCCACCTAAATTTATCAATAGATGGGAAGTTCATGGTACAGTGAGACCCACTGTAGCCTTGGTGGAGAAAAAACCTGTCTACATCACCTTACCATTTAGAAGTGATTTAAATAGTCTTTTATTGAAATAAAGGCTTAAATCAGTAATTAACAAGACGTATTACGCAGCAAAGGTCATTATCAAGGAAAGAACAAGGTTCATGCTTCGTCGAAAACCTAAAAGACATGAAAACAATTGAGTCATATCTCACTGTGTTTACCAATTTCAATATGTGTGTGTCCAAGCAAATATAGGGAGGAGTAATCGTGACGTCGAAATTAGGGTGCGTGAACATGTACGTAAATGGCTGCAGAAACAAATGAAATCAAATGATCTAATTAGAGTAGAGGATAAACATCTATCATTCTTTATTGCCAAACACAAAGTTGAAACAGGTCATAAGATTGATCTCAACTCGGCTTCTGTGCTGTACAAAATTGGTTAAGGTTTTAAATAAATTATATATTTGTAATATCCCAATGAGTAGAAAAATTTGATTTTCTGACTTTTCGTGACTCAGTGTTCGCCACCTCTTCGGAGAATAAATAACCAAATTAACAATAATCCAAGTTTAAATAGTACAATGGAACAATCAAAGAATAATTAGATGATCAATCAAAAACAGGTCTGAATAAATCAATGTCGAACTGGGGGCTTCGCTTTGGTTTGCTCTGTATCCCAAATCATGTAATACTTCACGGTTTTATGGTTTACCGAAAATTCATAAACCAGATATTCCTCTAAGACCGATAGTAGACTTTACCAACACACCGACTTATGCTTTATCTAAATATCTAAGTAGCATAATAAAGCCACTACAGTTCGACATACATAATATGATTAAAGATACATATGACTTTAAATCAAAACTATCGGAATTAATTATCGAGAAGAATGAAGTCATGGTAAGCTTTGGTGTCGTATCTTTATATACTAGTATTCCTACTGATAACTGCTTAGAATTTATTAGTGGCTTACTAGAGAATGACACTACTTTGTCGGACAGATGTCCATTAAGCATTAGCTTAATCATGAGATCGTTAAAACTTTGCTTAAATTCAACCCTATTCTCCTTCGACGGAACGCTATACAGACAAACAAATGGTGTAGCTATGGGTTCCCCTGTGTCCCCGATTGTTGCCAACCTTTTTATGACACACATAGAATCAAAGATTTTCACCAACCACATCAAACCACGAATTTGGCTTAGATATGTAGATGACACATTTGTAGTGATAAAAAAAGACGTATCTAAGATCATTTTCAAAACAGATAAATACACTTTCATCTAATATCAAATTCACGAATGAGAATGAAAATGAACATGGTGAGCTTCCTTTCTTAGATTGTTTAGTGAAAAGAAATATAAATGGAGTTCTAAATGTATCCATCTACCGAAAGCCCACACACTCTAATCGTTATATTGACTTCCATTCAGTGCATCCGTTCAGTGCTAAAATCTCGTTAGCCTTAAATCTTTTTAGAAGAGCCAACAAAATCATCACTTCAGAAGAGGACAAACTAAAAGAACAAAAGAATATAATTAGCATCTTACAATTTAATAATTTTCCTATGAAGATTATTAGAAGTATATTAAAACGAGACAATTCAGCACGTAATAATAACAATAATTCGAATGAAATCCCATGGGTTGGTACTACAGTTTTACCTTACCGTCATGGCACAACTGAAGAACTCCAAAGGATCTTAAGACAACACAGAATTAAAGTATATTACAGAACAACGAACACACTTCGAAATACTTTAGTTCGGTTAAAAGAAAAGATACCATTCATGTCTACACAGAACTGTGTCTACAAATTAGGTTGTGTCGACTGTGATGCATTCTATATTGGAGAGTCATCTCGCGAAATCATGACTAGCGCCAAAGAACATATTACGTACACAAAGAAACCTCCTAATAATCTTGTAGAACTAGATAGACTTCAAATTAGCATTAGCGGTTCATGCCATTTTCAATAATCATCAAATTGATTTCAAAAACATCAAAATACTATAGAATGGTTTTTCCAATCACAAAGAAAAAAGAGTAGCTGAAGCTTTCCATATAATGCTTAATCCCACTGCCCTCAATAGAAAGGAAGGCCTTACCATACATCCTACTTGGACTATCTATCCTAGTCAACCAGTCTAATATTATTTACAATTTCACACCATTACATTACAAATTAACTCTATCCTTTGTCATTACAAAGGTCACACATTTTTCATCATTTACAGTGGACACATACAAACAAAAATTACATACAAGTCGCTTATGAATCACCTTGACCGAAATGAAATGACGTGACATTGATTTATTCAGACCTGTTTTTGATTGATCATCTAATTATTCTTTGATTCTTCCATTGTACTATTTAAACTTGGATTATTGTTAATTTGGTTATTTATTCTCCGAA